TATACAATAAGATTGTAATATTGTGATCGTATCAAATTTAAAATCTTAACTCTCGTACTCTACTCCACTTTTTTAATATAAGTCCCGATTTACAAACAAAATATCGAAATGGAGTTGGTGTACGGAATGCGGTTTTCAAATGAAATATACAATTGTATAAAATATTAAAAATACTAAATTAAGATTTTTTAAATCCAATAATTGCAATCGAATAGATGAAATTAACTAACACATTGGGCTACTATTGCGTTGTTATTACGGTATCATCTGTCTGTTTCACCCGCGTGTATGTCTTACTGAAACTTCTACACCCTTTAGGTTGGGATTTTAACACAAATCGATATTTGCTAGAAAGTTATTTCTGGAGTTGAAAATTTTTACCAACTCTAAAAGTCCCAAAATTGTAATTATCTTGACTATTTTTTGTATCAAAAAAACACAAACGCGGTTCTGAAATTGTTTATTGTACTAATAAACTCGAATTCCATCACATAAAACATAAACTGTATGAGAATTTCTATAAAAATAAAAAGCTTATAATAAAAGCTATGCTTTCAAAGAATATAATTGTCTAATGACCATTACAAAAAAAATTCAAAAAAAATTTTTTTTGTGATCCTAAACATATGCAATTTTGACATTTGATTTTTAAACGGAAGTAATTTAGACTGATTTTTAAAAAATGTTTTTCACTCGCCCAAGAGAGAAGTTCTTCTTTACAAACCATTAGTTTGATCCGAACTTATTGTAAATAAAGCATAGCCTTTCGTTAAACACTCATTTTCCTTTCTTAACTCAAACGGAAAATGCATGTTTAACAAAAATTCTTAATAAATTAGGTCAAATTCTTTTACTTCCTATTTCTCTAAAAAACGAATTTGATTTTAAGATTAAACTTTATTAAAATCGTTCAAATTGAAATAGGAAAAATTAATTCAATGTCATTAAAGAATAAAATAAAAATGTTTAAATATAATTTTTTTTTAATTAAAATAAAAATTTGATTTTGATTCTCTATTTCTCTTTCTCTCTCTGTTTTTCAAAAAGAAAACATTTTTTGGAACGTTTTAAAATAAAATTTGAATCTGAAATTTTTTTTTAATTAAAATCAAATTGTGCTAAAATTTGCTTTTAGCAATAATGTTCCAGAAAAGAAAAAACAACAATACAAAGTATTAGTACACCAAAACTTTGTGGATTCAATATTCAAATAGAATTTTCTAACGTTTACGAAATGACCAACCATAATGTATATGCACAATGCACATGCTACTGTACATATGTACATATATATACATGTTATATTTTTTTCGTATTTAGATAATGATTTCAAACGAACTATATAAAGTGTAGATGAACAATGTGGGTAATAAAAAAGAGTAAAGAAATAAATTTTTTTCATTTTCCAAAATGTAAAACGATAATAAAACACACACACACACGAAAAAGGAAAATTGAAAATTTAACTCAGAAAACTCTATATATTTTTTTTTGAAAATTTGCTATTAAAATATTCTTTGATTTCATACCAATATTAAATTAGTTATTCAAATTTTTGCTTAATCCACAGAAATTTTTTGTTTCCTTTTTTTTTTTCTTTTACCTAATTGAAAGTAAGAGTTGGTTATAAAACAACAAATTACATTAATTTTAACATTTAAAAGTTTAAAATCAGAATTCGGGAACATGAAATATATTCCCGAATCGTATATTCGTTTTAGTTGGTACTGTACGGTATGTCTGTGCTCTACATAAAATGTGCTATATACAAATATTTAAAATTTTATTTGTTTAACAATGTGAGGTTTTAATTTTCTAACGTATAATCTCTGGTTGACCTACTTAATTAAAAAAATATTTATTAGTAATTCTAATGTAAATTAATATCTGTAGATATTAAGTTTTTTTTTTGGTTTTGAAAGTTGTGTATGCAAAATAAATAACACTCTGGCATAAAATTATTTTAAAAGTCGGTAAAAATGCTATGTAATATGTAACAGAATAACAAAAGTAAAATCCTTTCCCAATAAAACTAAAAGTATTATTCAAGCATACTTAGTAGGTTTATACTTATTATAGCAAATATCAATGTGTTACTGTATATTGACCAACTTGAAAAACGAAAAATTTGAGAATAGTACAGAACAGAGATATGAGAGCTATATAGTACTATGAGCCGGATTTAAAGAAAAATTTATTAGACTGAGTACTTCAGAAAAAGTATATACTTATGTATGTCTGGTGAAAATAATTTATTTCAAATCGACAATTCAGTGATCTTACTACACTACAATTTATGGGCAATGTATTCCATAAAATTAAAAATAAAAGTATTCCATAAAATGAAAATGCATCTTCTTTACAATTTTAGGGACTCTAATAAGCTTGTCAACATACCTAGAAAAATGTGAAATTGGCTCTTAGTAGAGTATCATTTTGTGTCGTCTGATTAGAGGATGAGCGTTTCGTATAATTGATATAATGAGGTATTATTGGTATAACAACTGAAACTCAAATATTAAATTTCAAGAAACTCCATCTATCGGTTTCGTATAGATATGGTAAAAATGTAAATCGGCCTGCAGATCAGTTTTCTAGCCATGATCTTTCCAAAAAACTTATATGTTTATTGTTTTATTACGAAAGATTTAAATATTAAATTTCAATGAAATCGGTAAAACGGGCCCGTTAAAAGGTCCAGTTCCCGAGGCCTGATATATCCTAAAAGTTGTTCAATCCCTTGAAATAAACGTACGTATAAAATTTTATCAAAATCGGTTGAGCTGATGAGCTGAACTTGAGATACGCGAGCACACACAGACAGACAGACCGACACGTTGCTAAAAATAGTTTATTTACACATCTCTACTATGGAGAAGTACGTTCCCACCGAAAACTCAGTATGCAAAATTTGTTGCCATTACATAACTTACCTTATTGCATACACAATGTTATCGGTAAAAAGGGTAAATACTTCATGCATGAAATCCCGGGATTCGAGTATCACGTTCATCATCAAAATAATTTTTACAGAAAATATAAGGGCTTTTAGCCAGACAGGCAAGACGGCTAAGATATCATAATGTTTCGGAAAGTCTCGTTGTTTGTCAATAATTTGTTCACTCGCAAAGCTAAGTGATATGTATGGTATTTTAATTTGATATACTTAGAATTAGAAAAGTTAGAAGAAATTTATTATTTTGCAGTAAAGTATTCGAATTTATGAAAATCAGCTTTATGTTACAAAATTTAGCTTGGTAAAATTTTTATATTAGTTTGTTCTTATATAAATTTATTCTTTTTTTTGCTAATTGAATAATAATGATATTTTCAAATAGCTTGTCGTGAAGTATATAGCATTTTTTTTAGAGTCAAATTTGTCTTTAATTGCAACAATAAGATTGACAAAATTATTTTTTTAATTTATCCTAAAAATTTCATTTAAATTTTTATTGGATACTTTTTTTATGTAAACAATTTATTTATGTGGAAAATATTTGAATTTAAAACGAACAATTTATTTTAAATATAGAAATATGAATACGCGTACTTAATGAAGCAAAATCAAAAGAACAAAATAAATGCATGGTATTTTTGTTTTATTTATTTTTCTAGAGTATTAACAAACTTCTGTATGCCAAGACTTTGTATATATTTAAGAATAATAGAAATATTATTGCGTTACCGTAATCGTGAGCTGCCTAATGATAAATATATTTCCAATTTTTTTAATGCATACATACATAATACAAGTACAGAACTTTGAGTAAAAAGGACCAAATTAAAACGAAGGACCCAATTACTATGATTTTTCAAAAATTTCGACCTTTTAAGTATAAGAGAATTTTCGTTCCCATATGTACCGTGTTTACAAATCAAAGATTTGTTATTTGAATGACTAAACTGTTATATTTGTAACTTAATATAAATTATGTAAAGAAAAAAGAGGGGAAAAACTGCATATCTTTAACATCAAAGTTATTTTAATTACCCAAATATTTTGCATGTTAATCTTTTGGCTAAGTACATAAAATCTGAAACAAAAATAATATGTGCCTCACATATTTGCATATATATAGATTCATACGTGTTTAATTCATTATTAAAATAATTTTTTCCCCTTTTTGCTCTTTAAACTATTCGAAAAATTTTCATTTCTCATAAAAATACATAAAAGAAATTATAATTATACTTAATATTCAATTAATGGCCCATATAATTAAAAATCTTACCAAAATTTACGACAGAATAAAAAAATGACCACAATTTCCTTTTTTTAATGTCTCCTAAAGAATAACGAAAAAAAATGACTAATACAATATCTACATACACAGATATGATGTGAATATATTTTGTAAGGTGCAAAAGTGTATCCATTTTATGTTGTTATAAATGTAGGAAATTAATTTTCTTTCAAATTATACAGAAAATGAAAACGAAAATTATATACAAACGATTTATGTTTTAAATTCATAAATAATAATTTTAAACAAAATTTTAAAATCAAACAAAATTTTAAACTCAAACAAATTTCATTTTATTAATTTCAATTTATTAAAATTTCGGACTTTTAAGTTTTCTAATAACATTTGAATGATTAAATTAAATTTCCCATCAATTCAATTAAATTTGAATGATAGGAAGTTGAGCTATTCGAAATATAGTCAATATTATTTTAAATTATATTTATTGAAGCAAGCTCTTACGAAGTTCATTGGAGTTGTGTTTGAAGCAATTATGGCTCAAAATGAATTAAATTCTATGATTAAGAAAGAATCCAATTTCATTATTAAAATTTTTTCCCAATAAAAGTATGAAATAGAGTATGTTCATTTACTACTTTTAATATATAAGATTTTCGAAATTGGAACGTTTTTGTAATAAGCTGTATAAGAAGCTAATATATATTTTGTATATTAATATTTTAAATATTTACTGTTAATGTTATAATTAAATATATTTTTATTAAAAAAGAAGTAATAAAAATTATAAAAATTTACCTGTTTACTAGTTGTACACATGTGTATGTATAGGACCTCCTTAGTGAAGTTTAAATGTTTTATGAAAGTTGCAGCTTCTTTTTTTTATAGACATACGTATATAAAATTGAATACATATGTATATAAACATTAATTTTTGGAAAAATTTCCGTGATTATATCTTTTATATCTGTATATGACTATGGAGCATATTATTACTTATTAATTCAATTATTTTATTTAGTGCACATGTTCAAAAAAACACTAATCATGTTTTGTAATATTATTTGTTATATTTTTTTTTCTGATATTGCTATACTAAATATCTTATTCTATCTTTTTGTTGTAAAAAAAAATGTTGAATTATAGATACTTATACTTCAAACTATCAGCTTTATATGTACTTAATGTATACATACTTTATATGTACTTAATGTATAGGTACTTAATGTACTATACACTTATTTTCTTTAGAACTAGAAAAAAGGATTATCCTTTCACTGTTATAATAGAATAATTAAAAAACAAAACTTAATTGAAAATAATATTAAGAAGTTTTGCAAAAAATATTTTGTATTACAATAATTTTTATATTTAAAAAATATATTTATTCATTATAATTTTGTTTATTTATATATACCTATAAATTATCTATATTTTATTTATTAATTAATTATTTTCAATAATTTTTCTATAACTTATGTATACGTATGTATGTATATATTAAAAACACTATTATTTTATTATTACAATAAATTTATTTTAACTATAAAATTAATGATGTAATTTTGTTATTATTTAAATATTATTTTCTGTTAATTTTAACGAATATACAAGTTTTTTTATTTTTACTTTAATTAAATAAACAATTTCCTATATAATTTGAAAATCTATATATGAATACATGTAGATACCATGGTACACATAATATTGTTATAATATGTCAAATTTATAGTATACATATGCATATATAATATTATGTATATAGGTACATATACGTATAATATTTTACGATATTTATAGTTATAATATAATAGGGTTTTTTATTTTAAATTAAAAAATTCAATTGTGTTATTTTTTAATGGTTATTATTATAAGTTTTATTATTCCTTGTTTTTATAAAAAAAAATTAAAATATTAACAAAGAATTATTTTACATTGTTATACTTACATTGTTATTTCTTTTCAGATACCATGTAGGTGAGCACTTTTATTTTTTTTTTATAATTATTTCAAATTAAAAATATAATAATTGATTATTTTAGTTCTCCGTATAAGCAGTAGAAAACTGGAGCATCACTGAACGTTGGTATATTGAGAAAATTAACTAATCATTCTATAATTTTTCTTTCCACTTTTTATTATAATATTGTGTACTTATACCCATATATTATGTATAATGTATATCGTATATATATTTCAGAAAAAATTAAAGCAACAGTCGTATGTTTTAGTTAAGAAAAACTTAAATTTTTCCAAGGGTTGTTTTTTAAAGAATAACTCTCAAATTTAATTTTAAATCACATAAAAATAAAGATCATAGTAAATAGTACTCAAACTATTGAATAACTGTATATAATATGTATATATATAGAATATTATTAATGTATAATAAAAGTTGAATTGTAAAAATTTTTTCTTATAAATTTTTGAATTGCATTTCTTTTATTTTTTTTTTTTGACACAATTTCACCTTGCTTGTTAATTTAAATATAATAGTTATTTCTTCACATTTTTTTTTAAGATTTTCTATACTTTTCAAGGAAAATTTTTATTTTGCAAATTTTACTTTTACTTTATTTTTATTGGGTTTTTATTTTCGTTTTTATCATAATTTTTTTGTTTATTTTTTTTTTTAGTTTTATCTTGTAAACTTTCCGTATACAACAATCTAAATTGATTGGGAACCGATTTGGTACTAAATTTTTATAATCAATTCAGAAAAAAAAGTCCTTTTCGCTCACTGGAAACGAACTTCTTAAACACTCATATTATATGTATTCATAAAATGTATGGAATAAAGAAAAAGAAGAAAGTTATACGGAAATATTATTATTTTTGATATTAAAATGAAAAGATGCTCAAAAGCAATATTACAGTTTTATAATTTGAAAGAAAATAATATTATATATAAATGCTTATTTCGGCTTTGATTCGGCGCACAAAATACGAAGAGTAATTGAAAGAAAAAACCGAATTTTCGTTGACAGAAGATAATATGTTATGTTCTAACAATATGAAGGAAGAAGACGAACGAAATTAAGAAAAAAAGAAGTAAAAATAATTTTTGGTACTTTTCTTTGTGAGTACATTATTGTTAGAGTATCGTACTTGTACTATAAAATTAATACCATAAAAATTATGTGAGGTTATGGTATAAGAATATTTTATTAATAATATTACTGTGCTGTGTACAATAAAAGCAGAATCATTTTCTGTATAAATGAAAACATACATGCATGAGTATAAAAATACTTCTGCTTTAATTGTAAATTTATTTCTTCTTTTTTATGTTTGATGTTTTTGTTTATTTTCCATTCTAAATAGTTTCTGGGGAATTCTAAAAATAAAACAAGAAGAGAAGGCAAAATAAACAACAGTTGTTTTGTGATTTATTTTTTTAATATTATATTATACTGTGTATGCTCATATTACAGATTTACAGATTTTTTACAGATCATAAAATTTATTTTCGTATAATGTGTGCATTTTACAGTATAGTTATTTGTATACAGTGATTTAAAATAATTATGTATTACGAATTACTTGTTCTGTCACTGTATAACAGTTTTCGTTGTGGAAATTATTGGAAAATTTATTGTTTTACTGAATTTGAGTGAAATATTTTTTGAGTAATTTAGTGGCAATTGTATTGGTATACTTTAAATTTGTGAGTGTTTTTTTTAGGGAACTATTAAATGAAGCAGCAATAAAGGGATGAAATAGTAAATTCTTTATTTAAATGAAATGATTTATTTGTAGTTTGGCGGGTACGTATATTTTGTAAATAAAGACTTGAGAGTTTGAAATTTTAAGAATACGGAACAATTTTATTATTTATAAATTTTTTGTATTGTTACGTCAATAAAATCAATAATATTTTGATTTTTGTTAGGCTTTATAATTAATTACTATAGAAAATATTAACAAATAAAATCAAATGTGTTTTCAATGAAAAATTAGAAAAGGAATTTACAATTTTTAAGAAAACTTATAATAATGGAACTGTAGAGTGTATTATATTCAACAAGAACAAAATTTTATCGAATAAAAGTAAAGGTATCTAAAGAATAATTAATAAAATTTAAAATTCTTTAGCTTGTACGTAGATCTAATATATTTCAATATTGTAATCCTGAGAGGCATAAAAGAATGTGAGTTCAAATGAAACTGCCAAAGATTTAATAACATTTTGCAATGTAAATTGATTAATTTCAAATAAAGAGAATGTGGTATTTGCTTGTGAACAGGTATTGGCTTATCATACTATCAGTATATGCATACAGTACATTATAGATATAATCATCAGCTCAGTAAATGCATATGTTTGAGTAAAAATATTTATTTTTAAAAAACCGAAATTATGTTACATACACACATACATATTTTTTTATAAAATACATAATTATGAAAGTACACTTCCTTATTAGGAAGCATCATCTTTCTTTATAAAACGATATGGCAACCATAGATGGATATATGTTTAAGCAACAAAATTTTTATAATTATTAATTAAAATAATGTTATGCTAACATGTATTGTCACACACGCATACTGTGTGAAAATATGACATATTTGATGTGCAACGAGCTGGGGCTTAGTTTACTAAAATTAATAACGTTTTTAACTAGTTTCCGTTAAATATTTTTTACATATTATATAATCGCAACTACTTTCATTCGATATTTCAAATAAAATTGTTCAGATCCTTAAAATTATATGAAGGTCAGCTCAGTTATATACGTGAAAACGAAACTGTAGTTTTTATGCTATCTCCAAACATAACATTGTAGATCTCGAGCTAGCTTATAAAAAACCAGCGGTTGATATCAACGGAAACAATTTATAATTATTTGTGGTTTTTGGTACCAATTAAACGAAATTTATTGCCTTTAAACCCAAAGATGTATTTGTATAACTCTGTACCTTTTGTTGTAGTACCCAATAATTAATTTAATAAATTCCAACACCTTCAGCTTCACCATTTCAACTAAAATTGATTGAAATTTAACATAATTTTTAAACTTTAATTGGACGAAGTTGGAATATAAGTAATTACTTTTCATATAGCAAAATTATAACCATAATTGTATAAGTAAACTGTAATATATACTCATTCCACGCTTATTCTGTTCGAGTTAGACTATGTTCCTTTTCAAAAAATGAAAAAAAAAAACATAATTTTTAATAACAAGATTTTGTAATTTTAAAATCACTTAAAATAAAATACTCAATAAAAACAAAATATAAACCTATTTAAATAGTAAAAAAAATGGAACCATAATGTTGTTTTAAGCTAATGTCTACGATAATCCTGTCAGACTTACACATTTAATGATTTATCTCTGTTTGTACTTATATTCTTTTACAACAAATTTTAAATTATTCTTATCTTTTATCAGTTTTACTTAATTTTCCGTGTCATAAAACCACAATTTGAAATTGATATTTATTATCTTTAAAGCTCTTTTTATTACAGATATTGCCTTTTTTTTTTTGAATTTTATTTTCTTTTTCAATCATTGTTTTTTGTTTTTCTATATAATTGTTAAGTCGTTGTCATTGTCGTCGCCATCGATATCATTCGACATTAATATCGATTCTTATCAATTAATCTCTTTAATTTATTCAACTTACAATGTCCTAAAAATTTCCCTTCAATTTCTTTGTTTTATTGCTTCATATTTTTTTGTTTTGTTTCACTATTTAACATAATGTAAGTATAAAAGTACAACAACAAGCGGAAAATAAAAAAAAAAGAATAGGAAAAAAATTGAATTTTAAAATTATTCAGAGCTTACATCATTTACTTTACATATACTTTATCGTATAGCCCATTCGACAGACGATAAAAAATACCGTTATTGTTTTTACATTTTGTTGTATTTTTTATCTCAGGAATCGTGATTTGCCGCTAGACTTTAATATAAACAGAATATTATTATTACAAAACTTAAGCTGATTTAAAAAGACAACACCACGTTTATTCCCGGAACGTAAATTTTATGCACCAGTACTGGACAAACAATGTTTTAATGAAAAACAAAATACGTATGTTGACGATAAATGGAATTTTTAAATAAAAAATAAATTGAAAATGGTAAGGTGTATTGAGCATTTTTGTACCCACAAAATAAATTTCAGGAAGCTCAAATTTTAAAATTTAAGAATAATAAAGGAATTGTTATATAAAGTAAAAATTTGCGTATGTAAAAAACTAAGAAAATAATTATTATCCAACAACCCATTTAAACACTTTCGTAAAAGTCTTTTTTTTTGAAATTTCTATAAAATGAATAAACCTATTTATTTTACTACATAAAACTAAATTCGCTAAAATTCTATATAAAACTAAACTTTACTAAGATTTCGAAGTTATTGAATTATATGCGTTATTAAAATATTTTAAGCTGTAGAGTTTGAAACTAAGAAATTGTGTTAAAAACCAAGACTTTTTTCTATTCCTATTAAGTATTTTTAAATTCATTCGTACAAATAAAGTTTCACAATTCAATTACATTTTAATGATCAATAATGGTTCGCGAATTAATGTTTGCCTACTGTGACTATATATCATCTCTTGAATGTTGAATATTCAATTTATGTAAAACAGAGTGCAAAACAATGAAAACAATAAAAAAAAAAAAGGAACAGAAAAAAGGAACATAATGTCCTTAGAATGATGAAAGACGCAAATACTTTTTTGTTTTTATTTTTATTTCATACTTTTTTCTTCTCTTTTCTTCTCTTCTTATATTATTCTTCACTTATTCCTTCTTATAATTTTTTTCTTCCTTAAAAACCTTATCATATTAAAATACATCACAGCACAAGACTATGTCATATAAAAGTACGTTTACCTATATACTAAAGAGATGATGACCTCGCTAAAGTGTTAATTTGCTTATAAAATGTTTGAAACAGAAAAACAACTAAAATGAAACAAAAAAGGAAAGGAAAATTGTAATTCCGTGGCCTAGTATAGAAGAGATTGAAAAATTCTTTAAAAATAAACTTACGTACATACGTGAATCTTACAATTACCTACTGAAACACAAAAAACACATTTCGTTAAGAACTTGCAGATTACAAGGTTGCAAGAAAATAAGTATTTTTTTTTTTATAAGGAAAACAAATTTATGAAAAACTTGAAGATACCATTACAAGCTTAAAGAATTTTCTTCTTCATTCAACTTTGTATAGAGACCAGAAACAAAGTATGTACAGAATATACTTCTATATAATAGCGAATATAGAAATGAGTATTGAAAGAAAATACCTGTGTGCATAAGAAATAGGATATGAGAAAATTTCACATTGTAAAAAAAAGGAAAAAATTTAATAACACATAACTGTAAAATAATATAAAAGATTAAAGTCTAATAAATGCACCTGATACACACAGTCATTTTATGTATACCGTGCACCATATATGTATATATATTGCAGGGTATATATGTATATATATACATATATATATGTATATAATATATATATATATATAAAAACATAGATATGCTTATTTTCTTATACGTATATACTGTAGGAATTTGCTACATTATACTTACGACTTTTAAAAATTTTAATCCCAATGTAGAATTTAATATAGTCATATGATTATGTGTTAGTGTAAGACCCTCAAATATCTTAAACAGAATAAGAAAATTTATGATTTGTACGATGTTTT